TAGCATGCAGATACAGACAAACAACATCCAACCTTCACCTAAATTTTACCCCTACAGTGCCTGCCCTGCTACACTATAGTCAACCAAACAAAACAGTACAATTTCGAGTTGGATATAGCTGAATCTGCGCAATCAAGTAAGCCGAACCGTAAAGCTTCCATCTTGGGCTCCTTTGCGAGCTCGTCCTTTCTGCTTGTACTGTTCATAGCATGTACAATGTTGTGCCGAAGCGCACAATGCGCGAGTACCTTCGATTGCTTCAAGCGAAAAATGCGAAAGCAAACAAACACACGAACATTCCATTCACACGCAAATACATTCGCACACGCATACTCGTACAAACAGACGGCAGGATGTCGTGCAATGTGAATTTGCACCCAACAGGACATACCGCAGCCATCGCCTCCGCCACAGTTGCACCCACCAGCATTTCCGCCTCCCCCTTCTGTCGATCCCGATCCCCCCACACCTCTGTCATCGAAAGGGATATCATCACCGAGCCCACCTCCGCACCGCGGGCCCTTTCCGTGGGAGTCGTTGCCGCCTGTTGCCCAGGATGCTCCTCATACTCGGGCCCCGCAGCACCGTTGGAGTCTGTGGGAGGAATCTCCCCCTGTCGAGCGAGCTCTTCGCGTCGAGCAGCGCGTTGGGCACGTGGAAACGTGTTTGACCCTTTTGGCAATGGTCCTAGACCAACTGCCTGCTTGTCAGCTGCGACTGACGCGTCCTGAAGATGTCCCTCCGGTAATGTCGCAGCGGGAGCACGAGGAAGCTGTGGCGGCGGCGATGGAGATGCTGCGTATGTTGCCGGTGCCGGGCTCCCCTGGCTCCGCCTTGGGGCCTGGCCCTGCTTCGTTGAGGCGGCTTGCACTTGCCGCCCTGCAGGCCCCGCGGGACATCGTACCAGCTGCCGCATCCGTGCTGCGTTGGATGGACGGGCGGCTTTGTTGGATCCTGGCCGAGTAGCGGCCCTTTTCCCTTTGCCCGCCTGCTTGATTCCTGGCCTGGCCTTGGGCTTCCCCATGGCGGTGTGTTCACGCCTGGGGGTGTTGTATTTGTTGTTGGTTCCTACTTCCCCATGTTGTAGTACTTGATTTCTTGATGTATGCCGTTCCCCCCTCCTTGTCACCCCTAACGCGCGGCCAAAGGCCGCGCTGTCGAGCGACGTCCGCCTTCGGCGGCCGGCGCGAGCCGCTGGGTTAGGAGAGCAAAAAATGAACCATGAACTGAAGAATGAGGTGGAAGAGAGGCTCCTAGGGACTTTATACTAGGCAGGAGAGACCAGGAGAGGCTAAGGACTAGCTCCCAAGGTCTCTCTCTCTCAAGCGGTCCTTCATTGATAGTATGCAGGGTACAGGCACAACATATAAGAATCGGCCATCCTAGCATGCAGTCTAGATGTAGGGCGGGCAAGCAGGCAAACATGCAAGCAAGCAACAACCCCTAACACTCCTGCTGGTTGGCTCGGCTAGCCAAGTCCTACCACGTGTCCGTCACCCGGGGACCGCTGCTTGGGGGCCTCCTTACTCCAGCCCCTCACACATCCAGGGCCGGCCCCCAGTCCAGGTCGTCCTCGAGGACCTGCCAGAGGTCCCCTAGGCGGGGCTCCCACAAGTCGATTGCTGCCTGGGGGAAGGCCCGTTCGGTTGCCCTGTTGGACTTGGCCAGCAGGGTATTGGCCTGGCTGCGCTGAAGCATTACCGACCAACGCTGCCGGTAATGCGCAGTGAGCTTGGAGGCCACCGTAGTGAGCCTCCCCTGTCTGTACTTTTTCTTGGCCGCCTGTGTCCCGAGCATGCGGAGGAACCTCTGGGTGTCCTGGGCCAGGGCCCTATAGGTCTCTACCACCAGGCCGAGCACCCCAACAAAATCAGGGCGTCCCTCGTACAGCCCCCTTTTCCCCCTTGCCGCGTCCTCTGTCGCCCAGCCCGGTGGCTTCACCGCCCTTGTGTCTCGGCGCTGCAGTACTGGATCAGTCACTGTAACGTCGGTCACCCAGGTTTCCGCTGACTCCTTGTCCTTAATGACCAGGTCTGCTCGCTTGGGGTTAACGATTTGCGAGAAGGCCGTGGTCTCATGTGCGGTCATGTAGTCAGCTTCGTTGGCCATCCGTAGTGCCGCGTAAACCAGGCTGTTGTGTGTGTTCGTCCTGTCCTTCCCCTCTGCGCACCTCAGCAGACGGTCCCCTATCTTAGACCGTCTCTTCCCGCACGGGCAGTTGTCCGTCACTGCTAGGGTCAGTCCCAGCCGGAAACCCAGGGCTATCGCAAACTGCCCTGGTGAGAATGTCAGGTTCGCCCGTGTGGGAATTGCATGGAGCCAGTCCCCCGCACCCACTCCCTGCATGCTGATCAGGCGGACGACGTGACCATTGTCTTCCCCCGGTCCAAGTTTATCTGCCTCGAGAGGTGTTCCTGCAGGCGGCCTTTCACCTCTCCGCCCTGGTCCGTTGCCCGCAGCAGCTCTTTTGCCGATTCAGGTAGTCTGTTCCGCAGGTCCCTGATGGATGTTCCGACTTCCCCTGTGGCTCCATCCCCATGTGGTGACACCAGTGCCGCCACGCGCTGCAGGGGGTGGCTGGGAGTTGCTGACACGTGCTTTAGGAGAGTCTGTGCCGCCTGCAGTGAGGCCAGATATGCCGCTGGTGCCTCTGAGAATGGGTCTATGATTCCCAGGCCCCCTAGCGCAATTGGCAGCGTCGCCTGCCTCCACACCAAGCTCTGCTCCAGCTCCTTGCTCGGCGTGTGCAGGTGGGCCGCCTTGAGCGCTGTCCACAGGAGTGTCTCGCTCCACTCCCTCCATTCTCTGCGGGGGAGTACGTCCGCTGGTGTTGTACGCAGGAGGTAGGAGATCCTGCGCGAGATGCACCGAGAGAGGAGTAGCAGCGCGTGTTGCGGGTGAAGTTTCCCGATGAGCCCCAACAGTGCTGCTGTTGACTCGAGTGTCCCCCTGATGGTGCGCTGGCAGAATGATATAGTGCCGATTGGGCTCCCTAACATGTGTACTCCGTCCACCGCTGTCGCCAAGCCGTCCGGAAGTCGACCTGTGTATCCTGAGGGACTCCATGCGGACGATTTAGCGAGGTTGCACCATAGGCCGCATGCTGCCAATTCGTCTCGTATCATATTTAAAGCCATTGTTGCCTGTGCTGGATCGCCCACGATCGTGATGTCGTCCGCGTACGCCATCACGGTCACCGTTGAAACTGCCTCCGCTGCCGCTAGGAGCACTGGTTGGATGGCCGCTGCGAATAACATTGGTCCAAGCGGGTCTCCCTGCCGAACTCCCTGTGCGCTGTTGATATGGGGCGTGTCGAACCCGCTATCCAGCAGGAGTTTCGATGGTGCGCCGTAGAGTGTGCGGGCTAAAGGCATGAGCGACGCCAGGCCGGTCCATCGTAGCGTTGAGAGGAAACATCCGCGTTCCACCAAGTTGAACGCGTTTTCGATGTCTAACTGCAGGATTCCCTCATGGGTTCTTCCGCTACGAGCGCCCTTGTCGAGTGAATGATGCACTTCGCTCCTCCTGGCACCGCCACTCCAAATTGTACTGGTAAGAAGTACGCCCAAATTTCTCCTGCCAGCTCCTTTAGCGCCGCCTTGGCTGTCAGTCTTAGCAGTGCCTCCCCTATTGCGATTGGCCGGACGCCTCCGTCCGGCTTCTCCAGGGCGATTAGCCTGGATGGGAGCAACAGCTCCTGTACTGCCTCGTTCTGGTAGGTGCTTAGAAGCTGATTTACTACCTTGTGAAGGAGAGCGAAAACCTCCCAGTTGGTTAAGGCAGGGTTGCGTAAGTGTTCGAAACACATCCCTGATGGCCCCGCGCCTATCCCGTTTGGGCATTTCGCTAATACTTCGCGAAACAACTCGGCACTGATGGCGAGCTCGGATGTGGTGTAACCTGTGAGACCATCCGGTGTTGCCGACTCTGGACCTGGGTGTTTAGAGTGGAGGGCTTCCAGGGTGGTTTGCGACGGCTCGGCCAGGGGGGAAGTGTGTAACGCAGCTGTTGCTTTCGCCAGGTTTTCTTTTCGTACCAGCCCCTCTGCTCTGGCGCAGATTCCTTTAGGGTCAGGTTCGTGTCTGTCCGGTTTTGAATTTGGGGGGAAGGTGCTGGCCTAGGTGTACTGTGCGTCCCAGTCCTCTTCTCGGAATTGTCGAAGCCGTCCCTCAACCGCTTGCCATCTGTTTCCCGGAACTGTCTCCATGCTAGTCCGCAATGTAAGCCTGGGGAGGATTTGCAAAATTCGCCACGCGCCGAGGCAGTCTGGATGCTTCGAGAGTCGCAGGAGTGGTACGGTAATGCAGTGGCTAAACACCTTCAGGATATCTGGCGGGAGCTTCCGTACCAGGAATGGCTGGGCGCTGGCGCGGAGTGTTCCTAGATCCCAATCCAACACCCTTTGCCACGCGTCCTCGTCCTCTGCGATTTCAGGGGTGCACGCTCCTTGCTGGCAGCCTCATTGGCCCCCTGTGCCTCTGATTCGCCCACCTGTACGTTTGCCTCCCCCTCGTCCCGTCTTTGTCTGTCCCCACGTCGCCGTCCCCTGTCCCCATTTGTGGGGACCCCATCCTCTGCCTCAACCGAGACGTCCTCTGACTCCTCCTCCTGTTTCTCCATATAATATGACCCCTCCTCTCTTGCCGGTTCATTCATTGGTTCTTCCTCAGTTTCCTCTGGCCTCCCGTATCTTTCCCGCCAGTTTCCAGATCTGGCCTTCTCCCTAGCTCTCACCAGCTCACCCACGCGCCTGCCCCTGCCCCGGCCTCGCCTGCAGCCTCTGGCAGCCGCTCCTGCCGCCGCGTTTCGCGGCTGTTGGCCCGCGGCTAGTTGGTCTGCTCTTTCTTGCAGCACTCTCTGCCGGCTTGTTCCTGCCCTCCTCCGACGATCTGCGGCCCTTGCCGTCAACACCGCTTCCTCCACGTGGGCTTCATCCTCCGCCTGCTCCGCTGTTTGTCGCTCTGCCTCCGCCTCCTCCTGTGCCTCTAAGCGCCGCTGTAATGACGGGCAAGCGTCTGCGAAGGGAGCACACGGCGGAGTACTCTGCTGTTCCCAACTCGTCAGAGGGCCAGGGCGAGCTGGCGCCAGTCCTACTCCGAGCCGCCGCTGCCCTGGTCGAGCACGAGGGGGCCGGGACCCCATCTCGTCCGCGGGAGCCTGTGTATCGCTCGCCCCGCTGGCGTACCCACCCTCATCTGCAGGCACGTGGTGGTTCCTTTCGTCGTCGCCGGCCGCCTCGCCCTCCGCCTGCCCTTCAGCGACAGATTGTCGGTCCGCATCTCCAGGCAACCTCTCCTCTGGTGTCACAGCCGCCTCCTCCTCAACCTCCTCCCCCGTCGTCTCAGCAGTCTTCCCAACAGCAGTCGTCCGATCCTGCTGCCTCGTCCCCTTTGGTGGCCCCGCCTGCGCTGACGTCGGTGCCGCTAACAGCGTCGCCCTCTCTCCCGCCTCCCCTTCTGGTGCCTTCGTCGCCGGTGTCACCCGCTGGGGCACATCTCGTGCCCCCCCTTCCCGCTCAGTCGCTTGACGCTGCCGATCCACTGTCTGAGCTTCCTCAGCGGCAGCATCCCCTCGTTTCTCCTGACCCCGCGCCTGTTGCTCGTTTCCCTCTCACAGTCTCCCGGGATTCTGCCCGACGCACCTGATCCTGAGGACGATGAGAAGTGGTGGAACGGTGAGCTGTGGGAGTCTCCTCCTCAGTCCGGGATAACGTGGGGTCGGGACTGGGACATCCGGTCCGACTTCGTCCTTGACGTCCTCCGTTGGGAGCGTCGCATGATTGGTGTTGGCGAGTGCCTCTCCCACGTGGCGACGGCGCTGGAGCAGATGCATGCTGGTCTGGAGGCGCGGAACTTCGTGCTGCGGGATCCCCAACTGACCGAGGAACAGCAGGGCGTTGTCCGTGCGGCTGCGGCGCAGGGCTTGTGGAGGCTCCTCCGCTTGCCCCTTAAGTCCGAGCATCCTGACGAGAACGAGGGGCCGGGCGCGAGGGCTTTCCGCAGGGTCGCCACGGCTGCCGAAGAAGCACCCCTGCAGCTTGTGTCTGCGTTCGCGTCCTTGCTCCGCTGAATCCGCCGGCGGTTTTACGTGTTGAACCACGTTTAGCGTCCTGCCCCTTCTGGGCTTTGCCATTTGCCTTCTTGTTCCCCATCTTCTCCCTATTCTACTTACGTTGCCCTTGGTTTTTGGGCGTAGCTACTGCTGCATGTTGTATGTCCAGCTAATGATCATTGTTGCTTGTTCCTTGCCATCCCCTGCCTTTCTTCGCCTCGGGATCCGTGGTGCTGATGGGGTCAGTGATTGTGACGTCACACACCCACACCGCCCCTATGCTCCTGTCCCTCATGGTGAAGTCTGCGGTCTGCTCCTCGACTGGGCAGTACTCAGCCGATTCTCCGTGTACTATGAAGCCCGCGTCCTTGGCCATGCTGATGCAGGCGTCACGGAGTTCATTGTGGGTGTTGATGCGATGCTTGCCTGTGCCGCAGCGAAAAAGGTGATTCCGTAGGCGTGGATCAGTTATGGCGACATGCTCCGTACAGTCACAGTTCGCCGGCGTTGAGAAGGGTAAGCCGAGCCTGAAGCGAACTGCGTTTGCAAAGTGTGTGGGGCCAATGCGACGGGTTGGTGCGATCGGGATTGCCGTGAACCAGTCTCCGGTCCCGTAGCCTGTCAGGGAGAACATCCGCTGCGTATGCCCTGAGAGTGGATTCAGCCGCATACGCCCGCACCTGTACTGCATATCTACTCCCCTGGACCTGTAGTGCTAACGCATGCCGAAGTTTAATACCCTTCGGCTCCAGTCTCTCCTTCTCCAGCACTTCGCGGGCATCTAATGGCAGCGCCGTTTCGCATTCGGCAAGCCACGTATGTAACGGCGTAGTGACGTCGCCCGGTAGCAGCATGTGATTCTTGACCGACGATCAGATTTCATCATCGTCCAGCGTCAACAAGTCAATGAAGAGTGCCGCCTGGCAGAAGCTTGCAAGGAATCCGTGGACTCCTTCGACGGTCGGATCTGTGAGGCCGATCCCTCCGAGCGATGGTGGAAGCAACGCCTGCGCCCACACCCGTGTCTGCTCTGTCAGGCTAGTGGGGACTCGGATGCCGCACACCGTTAGCAAGGTGACCAAGAGGTCCCGGCCCCACTGGGACCACTTGTCGCGCACCAGTAGGATGAGCGGCATGGTGCGTGTCAGGTACGCTACGCGGCGGGAGATGCAGCGGGTCAGCAGTAACGAGGCCACCTGGGGATCTGTCCGTTCCAGTAGTGGTAGCGGTTTCGCCATCCCGTCGAGTTGAGCAGCCAGGAACTTGGCTGTGCTGGCAGGGGGTCCCAAGTAGCTTCCGAGGAGACGGACCCCTTCCATGCTGAATGGCACTCCTGGTGGTAACATCGGCGCGCAGGTATCGTCGATGCACCACGCTGCGCATTTACCCGGGTTATGCGTGAGCCCGAGTAGTACGAGCTTGTCAGTGAAGTGGGTGAAGGTGGCTACAGCTGCGTCAGAGTCCCCCAGAAATGTGACGTCATCCGCGTAGGCAAGGCAGAGTACCCTGGGGTGTGCAGCGGCTGTCTCTCGAAGTGCAGGGTGGATTCCAGCGGCAAAAAGCAGTGGGCCGAGTGGGTCCCCTTGGCGAACCCCACGTTCGCTTTTCAGTGGTTCGCTCCCGAAGTTGGCATCCAGGTGCAGTTGCGATGGGTTACCGTAGGTCAGCCGGACGAGTGGGAGTAGAGGTGAGAGGTTGGGTTCTTGTAACGCCTCAACGATCGCCTGCCGCGAAATGCTGTTGAAAGCATTCGCGATGTCTGTTTGCAGTACCAGGCTGTTCGGACGCGCATCCAGAAAGGCTCGGGCAGTGTGGATAATTGCATCTGCTCCACCTGGCACCGCAACCCCATATGCAGAGGGAGGAAGTATTCACGGGCAGCTTCGCCCATGACGGTCAGCGCCGCCTTTGCTGTCAGTCGAGTCAGACATTCCCCTATTGCTATTGGTCGGGCACCCCCTCCTGGTTTGGCCAGGGCTATGAGGCGCGAAGCTGTCAATAGTTCTGCTACAGGCGGTGGCAGTTTTCCACTGAGAATGGTGTTCACCAAGGCGTGCAGGTGGGTGCAGACCAATGCGTTGGTAATCGCCGCGTCGCGCAGGTGATCGAATGTTATTCCTGACGGTCCGGCGCCGACGCCATTTTCACACCTGCCCAGGATTTTGACGAACTCCGCGTGGGCGATGGACAGGTTCGTGGCGTGCGTGGCTGGCCAGGTCAGCGTCTCGGTTCCAGCAGGCGGATGTTTCTGGCGGAGCTCGTTCGGAATATCTGGACTTGGCGTGCAGACGAGCGTTGACTCTAGGGCCAACATGGCTCGGTGCAGATTGCCACGTTTCGCGGGACCCTCGGCTCGGTTGATGACTCCTGTCTCGTCAGGCTGGTGACGTGGCAGGGGTGGAGTGTTGACCGCTTCCACAGCCTCGGTGTATAGCTGTTCCCATTCGCCGCGCTGGAACAGGCGTAGCCGAGCCTTCACTTGTGACCAATTAGGTCGCTTGGGCGAGGGTTGCCAAGTGTGAGACGCGGGAGAAAAAGCAGCAGTCGCCAACCCGCTTCCGAGTCTGGGTTTCACGTTAGGTGGAGAAGTGGGGTGAGAAGCGCCAACGAAAAGAGCTGACACAGGTTTGGCGGTAAATGACGTGACAGAGGCGGCTGGCGACTGTCGTAAAGCGCCGAGATATCCCAGTTCGCGATGCTGGCGAACATGTCTGTTCGCCTTGCCAGTTCTTCTGGCAAAAAATAGAGGGGGTTTTGTGGATTATACCGCACCGCGGATTCGTTACGAGTGGCTCAATTTCCGCGAGGGCGGTTCGATGTCGTTGCCCGAGAAAAGGTTGGAATTAAGGCCGTCCGATCGGCAACGGACGGTCCTCTTACAGCCCCCGCCCTGGTTGAGTCACCTTGGCCTGCTTCTGCTCCGTTCTCCTCGGCAGCCTCCAGGATCCTTTCAGCTTCATCCGAGCTATCGCTTTCACTTGCGGGGAGCGGCTCTTCCCTATAAGTAGGGTCGGTTCTTTCATCTGCATCATTAGCCACCTCTTCGTCGATTAAAGCCTGGCGCGCTGCTGCCTGGTACCCTTTCTCCGGTCCTCCGCCAACTCCGCTCGCCTCCAGTCTCCCGACCCCTCGGTCCCCTCTCCCCCGCGATGATGATCGCCGGTGCGTCTGTGCTGTCGCCAGTGCGCGCTGCCGCGCCGTTGGCTGTGGTCGGCAGGCCCCCGTCGGAGCGCGAATAGGTGACCATCCCGACGAAGCCCCCTGTACCACTGGCTCCGAGGCCCGCGACAACAGCCGCTGAAATCCCTCGTCCCCTCGCACCCGAGGATCCTGTTGCGCCCTTCGGTGCTCCTGGGGGCTCTCAGGCGGTGGACGTTCCGGCGGCTCCCCTCGTTGCTCCGCCTGCCTCTGTGTGCCTGGGCCCTGACCCCCCTGCTCTGGTGGTTGTTCCGGACCCCCTTGCTCCTGTTGGTGCCCCGTGTGTCCCCGCCGTCCCTGCTCTGCCGCTTGCCGCCGTTGCCCCTGCTGCGCCGATCCCTGCCGGCGCCCCCGCTGCGCCGAACCCTGCCGTTGGTTCGTCGCCGCAGGCGGTGTCAGCCACCACTGGCGGCCCGGGCCCTGGGGAGTCGGGGGGCGCCGTCGCGCCGATAGTTCGTGCATCGTCTGCTGTTGTTCCGCCGACTCAGCGCCCGCCGTCTCCAGGCGGCCGGTAGCATCGGCCTCACTCTCCTGCGCCACGTGACGAGCGAGAGAGGTCGAGGCGGCGACACGACTCTCCTCGGCGCCGTGGTTCCCAGGCGAACTGGGCTGCATCACATGGTGGTCGCGGTGGCTGGTGGGGAGGGCGCGGTCGTGGTGGGGACTGGGCGTAAGATCGGCTGGTGTCGATGGCCGATCTGCAGCGCGTTGTGTCTGTTGCGGTGCGCGAGGAGCGGAACGGGCAGGCGAGCGAGAGCAACTCGCCGCGCGGCGTTCCAGCTCATGCGTTCCCTCCTCTAGTTGTGGCCCCTCCGTCTGCAATTCCTCTTCCCCGGTCGGATGTTCCTCCTCCCCTTGCTCCTGCTACATCTGCCGCCGCTCCCGGGAATCGCATGCGACTGCCGTGGATTCCTCCTGTGGCGGGTATTGAGTTCGTGACCGCAGCAGGGGGACCTGTGACGGCGCAAAATCCGTCCCTCCTGCCTGGGGGTCGTGCTCATTCGGCTGCTGCGCCACCGGTACAGACGTTGGTGGGGCCCCTTCCTTCAGCAGAGGTGCCGGAGGCTTCACTGGGGCAGCTGCGGCGCCTCCCGGAGGGTCTGCGGGCTGTGCACCTGATTCAGGTGTATGGGCACGCAGCTCTTTCCAATGGTGTTTCTCTGGATGGCGGCCGTCGGGACGAGTGCCTTGATGCCGCGGATCGGCTTGCCGAGCTCCTGGCGCCCGTGTAGGCTGTGCCTGCGCAGTGTGGAGTTGCGGGTGTTGGACAGCTTGGGACTGCTCTCCGTGGTCTGCGCCGGTTTTTGCGCTTAGGGACTACAGTCGACTTGATCGGCGCAACCACAGTGGTGGTGCGCGAGCTTCATCGGTCACTGACGGGCCTTCTTGCCGTCCTTGACGCGGATCAGATGTAGGATCCGCGTCCCCTTGATCCATGGCTTCGTTAGTAGGTAGTTCCCCTGCCATGTGTGTATGCCGATTCCTTAATACGGAATGATGCTTGCGTTGTGCTTGTCACCCCTCACGCGCGGCCAAAGGCCGTGCTCTCGAGCGTCGGCCACCACACAATGAAGAAGAGAGGCCAGGAAGGCCCCTTATACAGCTAGAATGTCTAGGGCAGAGGGCTGAGGGCAGAGAGCAAAGGCAAGAACTCTCTCTCTCTCTCTCTAATGGTCCGTGTATTGATAGGTCAGGAGGGTACAAACATGCAGGGAAAGACAAGCAAGTACTAGCATGCAAAGGGACTGGAACTAACCTACAAGCAAAGTCCTCTAGAGCTCAAGGAGAGGCTCAATGACGGCAAAGCACTCTCCTAGATGTAGTTCATGCCCTATTCCTCCCACAGGTGGGTTCTCAGCTGCTGCCGCCTCGCCTAACTTGAGCAGGTAGCCTACGGATTGGGCTCTCTGAAGGGCCACAGCCACCTCTGCCTGAACTGGTGCAGAAACTTGGCAGCATGAAAGGATTTAGAGTCGGCGTTGAAGTAGCGCCGAGCCGCCGTATCTGCTAGAAGCTTCAGGAAGACTGGGACCTCCGCGCATGGGCAGCCGTAGGTCTCTACGGCTAGTGGAAAGAAGCCCACCGTCTCTGGTCGGTTGGCATAATGCTTTATCTTTTTGTCGGCTTGCTCACGTGCCGCCCATCCCCTGCCTTTCCGTGGCTCTGGATCCCTCGTGCTGATTGGGTCCGTGATGGTAACGTCGCACACCCATACCGCCCCGCTGCTTCTATCCGTCATGGTGTAAGTCGGCCGCTTGTTCCTCAATGGGGCAGTGAGCGGCTGACTCACTATGAACTATAAACCCCGCGTCCTGCGCCATGCTGATGCATGCATCCCACAGCTCCTTGTGGGTGTTAATGAGGTGCTTGTTGGTGAAAGGGCCTAATAAACTCAGGCTATTAAGACGTTATCCAACTTAAAACCTCTCCTCGGGGTCACCTCCAAGGGTCCATGGGTGCTTGGTACAGGACCAGCCCCTATCCTCGGGTCCGAGTATGTAGAGAGAGGGATCAAGAGGGACTTAGTCAAAACAGCAAGAGTACCTTGAACGTTGCGCAGCGTGCCGTGCAGACCGTCGATCGGATTAAGCTGAGAATTCGCTATATCGAAGCTCGCTCCAAGAGCTTTAAAATAAGCCAAGTTGCATCGTGAAAACTTCTGCCATTACGAAGTTATGGCTCGGACAGCGTTTGCCTAGCGTTGGAGTGCTAGTGTACTAGCGTTGACTCGGGAAGCATTCCGCCGTCGCACCGCGTAGAAACGAAATTCCAGGAAGGGAGGAATTCGCTTGAATCAAATTGACTATATCCAGGTACAAACAGAGAAGGAATAAATAGTTCTAGCTAGCAAGGACCTTGGGAATCAACCTGGGAACAACCAAGGATGATCCCAAATAATTCCAAGCAACAGAACCAACCTGGCTGGACAAAACAGCAGGTGGTAGGTTGGTAAACAACCTCTGGTTCTGTTTTTCCAACCTGGGAAAACAACAACTAGGTTCAGGTCCTAAAAACAGAACCTGTTTTGTCTTTGCCCAACCAGCCAAATGCTGGTTCCGCTGGTTTCCCCTGGCCCTGTAGCATGCAGATACAGACAAACAACATCCAACCTTCACCTAAATTGTACCCCTATAGTGCCTGCCCTGCTACACTATAGTCAACCAAACAAAACAGTACAATTTCGAGCTGGATAGAACTGAATCTGCGCAATCAAGTAAGCCGAACCGCAAAGCTTCCATCTTGGGTTCCTTTGCGAGCTCGTCCTTTCTGCTTGTACTGTTCATAGCGCGTACAATGTTGTGCCGAAGCGCACAATGCGCGAGTACCTGCAAATGCTTCAAGCAAAAAATTGCGAAAGCAAACAAACACACGAACATTCCATTCACACGCAAATACATTCGCACACGCATACTCGTACAAACAGACGGCAGGATGTCGTGGAATGTGAATTTGCACCCAACAGTGCTTGCCCATGCCGCAGCGGAAGAGATGATTTGGGAGGCGGGGGTCTGTGATAGCTGTTTGTTCCGAGCAGTCGCAGTTCTTTGGTGTTGAGAAGGGGAGGCCTAGCCAGAGCACGGCATTGGTGAAGTGAACGGGTCCTATTCGCCTTGTTGCAGCTATGGGGATCGCCGTTAGCCAGTCTCCGGTTCCGTATCCGGTCGGCGAGAACATCCGCTGCGTGTGGCCGGACAGCGGATTCGGCTGCATGCGCCTTGTCTCCTGGACTTGCACGGCGTATCTTCTTTCGTAAACCTTCAGGGTGAGTGCGTGCTGAAGCCTAATGTCCGACCTCTCGAGTAGCTCCTTTTCCAGAATCTCCCGTGCGTCCAATGGTAAAGCCGCTTCGCACTCAGTAAGCCACTCGTGTAGTGGCGTGTTGTCGTCTCGTGGCAGTAGCATATGGCTCCGAGCTTGTGTCAGGGCATTCTCTGGTGCTAGCGGGAGGGAGAAGAGGAATAGCGCCGCCTGGGTAAAGCTCGCCACAAATCCGTACACGCCTTCTATAACGGGGTCCGTGATGCCGATCCCCCCCAGCGACGATGGGAGCGACGCCTGCGCCCACACACGTGATTGCTCGGTTCTACACGTTGGGGCGCGGATGCCACAGGCGGTGCGCAGTCCGATCAGCAGGTTCCGACCCCAATGGGTCCAAGTATCTCGGGGGAGGAGGTTGAGTGGTGTCGTTCTAGTGAGATAGGCCACGCGCCTAGGGATGCAGCAAGTGAGGAGAAGGGAAGCAACCTGGGGGTCGGCCTGATCAAGGAGCGGTAACGGTTTCGCCATCTCCTCTAGTTGTCCTGCTAGGAATTTGGCAGCTCCGTTGTCCGGCCCTAGGTAACTACCAAGAAGACGCACACCGTCCTTGGAAAATGGCACCCCGGGCGGAAGCTGTGCCTGTTCGACGATGGCTGAGCTCCAGGCCGCGCATTTCTGCGGATATGCGCCAGACCCAGGTGCGCCAACTTGGCTGTGAAATACGAGAACGCTGCTACAGTTTGAGTTTCCTTGCCCAAGAAAGTGACGTCATCCGCGTACGCCAAACAAAGCACGTCCGGATGTGCCGCAGCAGTTTCGCGGAGTGTGGGGTGTATCCCTACGGCAAAAAGTAGCGGGCCAAGAGGGTCCCCTTGGCGGACGACGCGTTCACTTTTTAGTGGTTCGCTTTTGAAGTTGACGTCCAGGTACAGCTGCGACGGGTTACCGTAGGTCAGCTTCACCAGCGGCAGTAGTGGCGAGAGGCCGGGCTCCTGTAACGCTGTTCGATAGCCTGTCGCGAGATACTGTTGAAAGCATTTGCGATGTCTGTCTGTAGTACCAGGCTGTTGGGATGTGCATCCATGAAAGCCCGGGCCGCGTGGATAACTGCCTCCGCTCCACCTGGCACTGCAACCCCATACTGTAGAGGCAGGAAATAATCGCGGGCAGCTTCCCCCATGACGAGAAGTGCTGCCTTGGCTGTCAGCCGAGTCAAACACTCGCCTATCGCGACTGGCCGGGCGCCTCCCCCAGGCTTGGCCAAAGCTAGGAGGCGTGATGCTGTCAGTAGGTCTGCTACCGAGCCTGGTAATTTGCCTCCCAACATGGTGTTTACTAGGGCGTGCAGATGGGTGCTGACCGATGCGTTGGTTATCGCCGCATCGCGCAGGTGCTCAAATGTCGTGCCTGACGGACCGGCCCGCACGCCGTTTTCGCATCTTCCCAAAAGTTTGGCGAATTCGGCGTGGGTGATGGACAAAGTTGACGTTGGCGTTGTCAGCCAGGTCAACGCCTCGTTCCCAGCAGGCGGATGTTTCCGGCGAAGTTCATCCAGAATATCTGGGCTGGGTGTGCGGACGGGTGTTGACTCCAGTGCCAGCACGGCTCGGCGCAGGCTGCCACGTTTCGCCAGGCCCTCGGCTCGGCTGATAACTCCAGTCACATCGGGCTGGTGTCGTGGCGGTGGAGGGGTGTTGACCGCTTCTACCGCGTCTTGGTACAACTGTTCCCATTCGCCACGCTGGAACGCTCTGCGCCGAGCCTTGACCTGTGGCCAGTTCGGTCGTTGTGGCGAGGTTTGGCGGAGTGTCAGGCGCAGGAGAAAAAGCAGCAGGCGCCATCCCGCTTCGGACTCTGGGTTTCGCGAAAGGTGGAGTAGCGGGGTCAGTAGTGCCAGCGAAAACAGCTGACACAGGTTTGGCGGTAAACGCCGTGACAGAGATGGTTGTCGACTGTCGCTTAGTGCAGAAATGTCCCAGTTTGCGATGTCAGCGAACTTGTCTGCTTGCTTCGCCAGCTCTTCTGGCAAAAAATAGTGGGGATTTTCGGGCGCTGGGCGCACCACAGTCTCGGTAGTGGCGGTTCGATTTCGCCGAGCGCAGTTCGATCTCGTGGCCGAAGGTAAGGTTGGAATTACACCCGTTCGATCAGCATCGGACGGTCCTCCGACTGCTCCAGGTCCTTGCGAGGCTAACTGCCCTGTGCATGCGTCCCCTCTCTCAGCTGTCTCCCTCGTCCCTTCTCCTTCGCCTGAGTCTCCACTCTCGCTGACGGGGAGTGGATCCTCCCTATAAGTGGGGTCCGTTCTTTCTTCGACCTCATTAGTCTCGTCTTTAAAGCCCTGCGCCCCGCTGCCTGGTACCCGTTCTCCTGACCCCCGCTTGCTCCGCTAACGGCTTGTCTCCCCGCTCCGCGACCTCCACGTCCACGGGATAGTGATTGCCGGAGGGCCTGAGCTGTCGCCAGCGCGCGCTGTCGCCGCGTCGGCTGTGTTCGCCAAGCCTCAGTCGGAGCCCGGAAAGGCGACCATGGCGACGAAGCCCCCTGTGCCACCGGCTCCGAAGCCCGTGATAGCAACCGCTGGAATGCCTCACTCCCCCGCACCCGCGGTTCCTGTTGCAATGTCTGCACCGTCTCTTGAGAACATTCAATCCTCGTCTGTTGCTGCTCCGGCCGCTCCGGCTGCAGCTGCTGTTCCCCCGACTCTCCCCTCTCTGCCACCAGCGTTAGCCCCTGCTGCGACTGTCGGTTGTCCGCCGCCTGCCGTCCTTGCCGCTCCGCCTGTTGGCGTCAAGCAGGCGGTTGCTGCTGGCACCGAGGCGCCGCAACCGGTGGTGTCCGACACCACTGATGTCCTGGGCTTGGTAGCTGTCTCGGTCGCTCCCGCCCCTCTGACTGCGACGACACCAGTGCCGCCCCCGTCCGTCCAGCCGGTTCCTGATCCTGCACCGCTTGCTGCTACTCTGCCGGCTCAGCGCCCGCCGTCTCCAGGCAGCCGGCAGCACCGGCCTCACTCCCCTGCACCACGTGACGAGCGGGAGCGGTCAAGGCGGCGACACGACTCTCGTCGGTGCTGAGGTTCCCAGGCGAATTGGGCTGCGTCCCGAGGTGGCCGAGGTGGCTGGTGGGGAGGGCGCGGTCGTGGTGGCGACTGGGCGTATGATAGGCCGGTGTCGATGGCCGATTTGCAGCGTGTTGTTTCTGCTGCGGTGCGAGATGAGCGGAACGGGCAGGCGAGCCAGAGCAACTCGCCGCGCGGCGCTCCAACTCGTGCGTCTCCTTCTCCTGTTGCGGCACCTGCGTCTACAGCTCCTCTTACCCCGTCGGATGTTCCTCCACCCCTTGCTCCCGCTGCATCTGCCGCCGCTCCCGGGAATCACATGCGGCTGCCGTGCCGCGAGGTGTGGAAGAGAGAGCAGGATATGCATACCTCGCTTGCTTGGGCCCGTGCCCTTCCGCACGTTGCAAGCAAGAGAGAGCAGGATATGCATACCTCGCTTGCTTGGGCCCGTGCCCTTCCGCACGTCCCCTCTCTTAAGCTCCCTGCCACTCCGCTTTTTATTTGTATTTGTCCTCATATGTTCCATACTTCTTCGTGCCCTTTAGGGCCTACCTCCGATAGAGCCAAGGCTGCCCATCCTTGCCGTATGCAGCGGCGGCGGTTCGAGTGAGAAACATACGTTGTATTTTCTCCTTCTCTTTCTCCTCCTCCATTTCCTCCTCTTTTTTTTTTTTTTTTTTTTTTTTTTAACCTTCACAAAGCAATGGAGGTTTTAAGGGTCAACATCTTTTATCTCATGGGCCATACATCGCTATGCCTACTAGCATGCTCTTCATCCCATTAATTGGGGCATACAAGTGACCGAGAGGCATTCTTCCTCTTCCCCAAAGCTAGGCACATGGCCCTTTCTTGCTACCCTATCCTAGGGCTGGCCCATGGCCACCGCAAGCCCTAATAGGCTGCCCATGGTCTAAGCACACGAGAGTGTACCGTGCATGACGCCCAATGGCGCGCTTAGCCATATCCCGACCCCTACACGACGGGTGCGGGTCCTTGGCCTCCCTTCCCGTTCCGAGGGCAGGCGTTAGCGACGTGGCCCGGCTGGCCGTAGTGGAAGCACGAGCCACGAAAGCCGTGGAAGCTGCCTGAGGGCGGCGGGCCACGCTTTGGGGCGAACGCCAATTCGCCGTGGTTCCCACCGCGGTTGGAGCGAGCGTGAGCGACCGCCGCTCGGTCCATGGCAGTCACTTCCGCGACTGCTTGCTTGAATGGCCGCGAGGTGAGCAGGCATTTCTGCAGGTACATCTTGTAACGCTTGGCGACACGTTCGTCGGAAGCGTCCTCGACTTGAAACATATCGAAGCGCGCCGAGATGTCGTCGAGGGCGGCGACGACCATTTCGAGTCTGCCCGCCAAGTCGCCGTGCTGCAACTTGTACTCCGCGTGTTTCAGTTAGGCCCTCATGTCCTCCAGGACCTCCGCTTTCGCCCGCTCGTCCGGGCGGTTGAATGTCGCCGCCGACCACGTGGTGTTAGTGGTAGAGGGGAGAGGGGGGAGGTGGTCCATGGAAATAAAAATTGGAGCATTGACTGAGCCTCACCGTTGTCGTCGTCGGAGTCGTCGGTGTCATTGTCGACAGCTGGCGCAGGTGGGATGTTGGCCGCTGCTTCCTTGTCGTGCCGGTTCGCCGTTGTTCCTCGCGCTCCTTTTTGTATTTTTTCAGTTTCCTTTTTTTTCGCAAATGCCGAGGCCCCGGGTAGTGCAGTTTCCGCAGCTGTAACGTGATGGGTTGTTGCTGTAACAGGGACATGTGAAAGATAGAAAACGAGAATGAATGAATTAGGAAGCAGGTGGGTACAAGTAGGAAACCCCTAAAGTGTTGTACCCCATATTGACTACCCCACTACAGCCTACACAGACTATGTCATATAAGTTTGACACACCCCCATAGGCAAAGTGGGGGAGAACAAGAGGTCACAAGACCAGTCAAGAAAGGCAAAGCAAGCTCAGGGTGGATCACAAAGTCACCACGCATTCTGAGCACAAGCAAATGGCCACAAGGCCAGTTCACATGCAGAGTTATATAAAGGAGAACAAGCAGTACAGTGATCACAACCTAGCAAGTGTAAGCATGCAGGTATATGTATAGAGATCACAGTACAAGGAAAGTCAAAAAGTGAGCAAGTGAGGCCAAGTAGGCACAAGGCCTAGAACAGTACAGAAACGCTGATGATCACAAGGCTGAAGTGCCTTGGTGAAGATATCAGCAGTGCTGGCTTGAGTGGCCACGTAAGCAAGACGAAGCTGACCACGCTGCTGCAACTCTCGAGCAAGGAAGTAGCGCAGAGCGATGTGCTTCGTTCTGTGCTCCAGTATGTGCTCCTGAAACAAGGCAATCATGGCCTTGTTGTCGACGTACAGAACTGGAGGAGAACGAGGCGGCTCTCCCAGGTCGGTCAGCAGGTAGGTGAGCCAGCGTAACTCCTGTGCAGCCATGGCCCCTGCGTAGATCTCAGCCTCACAGCTGGAGCTGAGAACAGAAGACGAGCGGGTAGACCGCCACGAAACAGAGCCGGAGCCAAGGCTGAAAGTGTAACCCTGTGACGACCGCTGCGTAGCCAAGTCGTCAGCCCAGGAAGCGTCTGCGTGACCAGTGAGGACAACTCGAGCCCGTCCTCCAAGCACGAGCCCCATGCCCAACGTACTGCACAAGTAGCGCAACACCCTCTTAGCGGCATCCATGTGCTCCTTCCGGTGTCTCCCAGGAGCAACATAGCGTGCCAAGATGCTAAGAGGGTATGCCAGGTCAGGTCGAGTGCAGGTCATCAGGTACATGAGGCAGCCCACAAGCTCTGGGTACGGGCCACTCGGCTCTACGGACTCATCCGAAGGCAGAGCTGAGAGCGACTGGCGAGTAGGCAGAGGAGTGGACTGTGGCGAGGAGTACGTGAAGCCGAAGCGCTAAAGGACCTGCTGCACCATGTGTGACTGAGTCAAGGTAATGGTGCGCTGTGCTCTGTCCCGGGTGATATGCAAGCCAAGATAGCTGCGCAGCTCACCCGGGTCTGTGCACGTGTGTCTCTTCTGCAGCTCCGACTTCACGTGGGCGAGTCCCTCAGTGTCAGCAGTAGCAAAAACCAAGTCGTCAACGTACACGAGGACGTAGAACGGCGGCAGAGAGGTGTCGGTGCGTAGAAACAGCGACGGGTCAGCAGTAGAAGGAGCAAACCCAAGAGCCGCAAGAGTCATCCTCAGTGTGTCATGCCACTCTCGGGGCGCCTGGCGGAGACCGTAGACTGGCCGCTGGAGGCTCCACTGGGTACCAGCAGGAAACGACCCAGTGAAGCCAGGTGGGCGGCGCAGCCAGGTCTCCTCGTGCAGGCTGCCTGTAGGAAGGCTGTGCTGAAGTCCAGAGAGTGAAGCTCGTAGTCACGCTGAGCAGTGACGTGCAGCAGAACCCGAAGAGTGGTCATCTTTGGGGTAGGGGAGAAGGTCTGGAAGAAGTCAACTCCCTCTTGCTAACTGAAGCCTCGTGCAACGTAACGCGCCTTGAAGACAGGCGGAGAACCCGGCGGCCGCTTCACCCTGAAAATCCACATGCCACTGATGATGTTCGCCCCAGGTGGGGGAACCTCTTCGACATAGGTGCCTGTGGACTTCCAGGAAGCCATCTCTACGTCCATGGCTGTCTGCCACTGAGAGGAGTAGGGACCCTCTATCGCCTCTGCGTAAGAGCGCGGGGTCGAGATGTCTGGTGCATCCGGGTCTCCCTCAGGGGCAAGTAGCATGGACACGAGATGAGGTAAAGCAGCGGCAAAGCACTCAAACTCCTCCTGTCTGTCCTCAAGGACGTCCGTGCCAAGAGCACACTCACCCCCGACGGATGGAGGACAGACAGACTCAGACTCAGCAACAAGACTAGCGGCGTAGTTTAGACGACAGGCGGCAGCAAAGTCAACAAGCTCAGCAACTAGGGCAGACGCAGCAGTGGACTCAAAAGAAGGGTCAGTGACAACAGTGGCTAGAAGACGCGTGACAGTAGGACTGGCAGCACGAGCAAGGTCTGACGGCGGGTCAGGGACGTCAGGAAGAGAGGACGCAGGAGGAGATGGCAAAGGGACACGCTGTGGAGCAGTGGAAGGACGGAGTGCCATCTGGTGCGTGCCTGGGACAGCAAGAGGACGCGGACGCGGAACACGACCAGTGCGAACAGTGCAAACAGGCGACGCAGGACGAGACTCAGGTGACGCAGGACGAGACTCAGGCTCACGACGCTTAGTATGACCCCTAGTCGGCCCAGAGTAAGGAGAAGGACCAGGCAGTGGAGAGGCTGACTGTAACTGCGACTGCGACTGGACAGGCGGTGGACACAGTAAGGGAGGAGTAGGACCAGTAGCAAGCGGGAGACCAAGAACCTGCTGAAGGAGGGGAACGAAGTACGGCCGCGGCCGCGTAGTGCCTCCAGAAACAGTAGAGACAGCACCAGTACCCCCAGCGCCAGGGTCTCCAGCTCCAACTCCCACAGCACCACCAGCTCCAGCACCAGTAGCACCTCCAGCAGCAACAGCTCCAGCGCCTCCAGCTCCAACTCCTGCAGCACCACCAGCTCCAGTCGCTCCAGTACCTCCAGTACGAGCACCTCCGGGACCAGCAGTACCTCCAGTGGCTCCAGCTCCTGCAGCTCCAGTACCTCCAGTACGAGCACCTCCGGCAGCTCCAGCACCAGCAGCACCTCCAGTAGCAACAGCTCCAGCACCTCCAGCTCCAGCTCCTGCAGCACCACCAGCTCCAGTCGCTCCAGTACCTCCAGTACGAGCACCTCCGGGACCAGCAGTACCTCCAGTAGCTCCAGCTCCTGTAGTACCTCCAGCTCCAGTAGCTACAGTACCTCCAGTAGCTCCAGCACCTCCAGCGGGAGGCCCCAAAGCTCCAGCAGCACGGCTACAGCGCCGAGCATACCACTCGCGCAGCTGCTGTGGAGAGAGGGGCTCCCGCCGTGACAAGACCCCTGCAGGAACTCCAGCAGACGCAGCACCCCCAGGCTCCGCACCCTCAGGCTCAGCACCTCCAGCAGCACCACCCCCAGGACTAGCAGCTCCAGGACCTCCAGCTCAAGCAGCGCCACTCCGAAGGCTACAGCGCCGAGCGTACCACTCGCGCAACTGCTGTGGTGAGAGAGGCTCCCGCCGGCTAGACCGCTGGGGCGAGGCACCAGTGAAACCTCCAGGACTAGTAGCTCCAGGGCCTCCAGCTCCAGCACCAGCAGTACCTCCAGCAGACTCAGCACCCCCAGTCTCAGCAACCGCAGGCTCAGTACCCTCAGGCTCAGCACCCCCAGACTCAGCAACCCCAGGCTCAGCACCCCCAGACTCCACACGCTCAGGCTCAGCACCCCCAGGCTCCGCACGCTCAGGCTCAGCACCCCCAGCAGCACCACCCCCAGCAGCACCAGAGTCAACCACTACCTCGACAGGCTCGACAGCGCCTACATGAGACACACCTGAGGGAGCAGGACCCTGAGGGGGGAGGGGGTCTACCGGAGGAGGACCTGGTGCAAGGAAGAGCGGCGGGGGGGGGAGAGGGGCAGTGCGGTAGGGAAAGAGACGGTAAAAGGGAACTGACTCGTCGAACGTGACGTCCTGAGAGGGCAGGACATGGCGCGAGGTGGGG